TTTGTGAATATAGTTTTTCCACTATAGCATCATACAGTGGTATAGAAAGGAAGGAAGAAATCACCCCCCCGGGGGATGGCCACACTGTAATACCTTCTCTTCTATTCTCTTCTTGGGATTTTAGGCACGCACACACATGTGCCCTGCATGATTTTCAAGTAGCCGGGACTAGGACTCCAACTACAGTTGGCCATGTGAGAGTCCAGCGCCTTAATCACCATGCCTCCTGCTGATCTTGAAAGCACTCCTGGTTTTATCCATAAGGACAAGAACAAATCTTCCTGCCAATGAGAGAATTAAATGTGCGTCACAGTAATGAATTAACCCCTGGAGAGGCTTCTGAAGACCTGGCATCTTTTACTATTCACTTACTGATTCTGTGAACTCGAATATGTAGTTTAAACTTAACTCTTCATTAGCTTGTCAAGGTAGGTTTGGGATGGGCAGCTCTCAGAAAAATTAACTCAAGAATACTTTAAGAGATAAAGACTCTACCAACTGAAATATTTTGATGTCCACTGCTTGACATTCTACCAACTCTAATCAACAATCACGTTTTTGTATCTGCTACACTTAAAAATGATCTCATATTGTATCATTTATAAAAATTAATGCAAAAGGAAGGGGAAACCCCACTATTCAAGTAAGAAAATGTGGTAGACTCTGTAAAAGGAAAAATTACTATTCAAAACCAGAACAGTCCTGACTTTTCCATGGTTCACTATTATGTTTGGAATTAACTAGATAGCTCTTCATTTCTTTTACATTTTTAATTTGTCAAAGGGCACCTGTGCTCTTGCCAGGGTGGGGAGGGTGAGAAAGCACACCCCATGGAGAATGCTCATGCTGCAATCCTTTCTCTTCCATCTATCCTTCTTGTTGTGATGTTGGAGACGTGCACATGTATGTCTGGAGTGTTTCTCAAGCTGCCAGGTCAGGAACTTGAACCACCCATTGGCCATTTGAGATCCATCTGCCTTAACCATCATGTCCTGGGTTGGCCTCAGATATCTCTTTAAAATATACACACAGATACATACACACAGGAAAACGTTCAAAATCAAGCTTTTAATGACTTCTTCAAAAAATGGAGCCCCAGTCCTTTGTCAACCTACAAAACAGGTGACTTACACTAAGTTCTTCAGTGTTTAGAAAGGAGCATTTAAAAAACAAAAATAGAATACTAATAAACTCACTTATATTCATGGTAAATGATTTTCTAGCCTGTATACAAAATATTGGACTAATGGAAACATTCAGAGGTAAGACAGAGATACAGAATGAAATACTATATGTGAGGAATGATTTCTTTACATTTTTCATGATCAAGTTTTAGTGTTAATTTTAATTTTCAAAAGAGTTTTAAGGGCCAGCAAGTGGCATGGTGGTTAAGGCTTGGGCTCCCACATGGCTGACTGTGGTTTGAGTCCCAGACTCTGTGACAATCCATGCCAGTGCACATGTGCCACAATTCTGAGAGGAGAATGGAAGAGAAAGGATTGCAGCATGGCCATCCCTGCTGGGGGATGATTTCCCACCTTCTCTCTCTCCATCTCTCTCCCTCTGTGTCTTCAAAGAGTACATATACCTTATAGCAAAAATCTCTCTCTCTTAAAAAAAAAAAAAGTAAGAAAGCAAAAGTGTTTTAAGTGGAGGAAAGAGAAACCATGAAATCTAAGTTGTTCCAATTGAGTAAGTAAATGAGATGACTAGATCCAGGAAACTCAAGCACTAAAATAATTCAGGAATAAAATAAAAAAGCAAAATAAAAGAACCACTTGAAAAACTTTACAGTTACTTCTATTAGCTAAGAAAAAGAAGTATAAAAGAAAATTCGCCGGCAATTTGCATGAACTTTTTAATGATATAGTCGAACATAAGCTCAGAATTCCCTGGATTGAGGAAGTTTATTTCTATGATAGGTCAAAACTTGAGAGCAAGGGGTGGTATCTGAAGGTGCTATGCAGAGCAGAGCAGCTTGCAGGAACTAAGCAGCTAGACACCTCTGAAACACTGAGTGAGATTATTAGGAACAAGCTTACCAGCAAAGTGAGAAACACCCACATAGTAAACCCCGAGGAGTGGCTTCTTATAGAGCATAATATATCTCACATTAAATTGTGTTCTACCAAACCCAATCACTATAAAAATAATGACAGTGTGGGTCCAGCAGGTGGCATGGGAGTTGAGGCACTGGACTCCCACATGGCTGACCATGGTTCCAGTCCCAGACCTGGTGGCTTGCTTTCTCACTTTTCCTCTCTCTCTCTCTCTTTCTTTGTGGTCAAATTTTTAAAAAATCAGAACAAATCAAGTTAAATAAAATAATTCTTTTAAAAATAATGACAATGTATTATTTTTATAAAAGTTTTATTTCTTTTTTTCATTCTAGGAGTGAGAGAGAAGGGAAGAGAGGGAGAGAGGGAGCATTTGTGAATGCATCCCAAACAGGGGCTTGATACCACCATGCATCCCAGCTCCAGCCAGCCCTGGCTCATGGGCACTCCCATACCCAGGGTACTCAGGAAGGACTCCAGACGTGAACCCAGAACCTTCCCATGTGGGTCAGCCTAGCAGAGTGTTGCCTTTTAGAGTTGTACCACTGTCTGGCTCTTTATTTTGAATTTTGAAACACCTCACCTCACTTGATCTTTCTAACCTACCCTGGAGGGTAGTCTTGGTTTTACACTTTCATTTGAGAAAAAGGAAATTGAGTTCAATCTTTTTCCCTGAATAAATAATGGAGCATTACAATAAGATCTTTCTAGTTCAATCATAGAACTCTAATTGTACCCCACTTGGTTACATTCTCCTAATCAAAATCACTCCCCAAAACTTTGTCTGTGCTTCTAAAGAAAACAATTTGAGTTTTTCTAATGTGTCCATAGACAAGGGGAGAGCATGTATATCAATATTAATTCAGAATCTTATACACACATTAAGTATATTTTCTCAGATTAAAGTGTTATTTCTCTCTTTCCC